TATTGGTGATTGCCAGCAATCCTCACATGACATTTTCCCTATGTGTCTGTGTCTATGTGTCCTGTTCTTGCTCATAAGGACTCCAGTGGTTGTATTTAGGGTCCATCTTAATCCAATATAACCTCAACTTAATTACATTAACAAAGACTCTATTTCCAAATAAGGTCACATATTAAGGTTCAAATTAGACATGATTTTAGAGGAGATACCATTCAATTCAGTATAGTCTGCCCTCTGGCTCCCCCAAACCCACATCCATCGCATGTGCAAAACACATTTTACCCCATCTCAAAATCCCCCCAAATCTTAACCCATTACAGCATTAAATCTAAATATCATCAACAATCAATTTGCTAGCTATATGAAGAAAATAAAAGATATTGAAAACCTATCTTATGCCATACTCCAAAATCAAGGGCAGAAGGATTAAGGATGTAAGTGTAAGAAGCAAAAATTTTCACTTTTAGAAGAAAATAAAAAATATGTTTTCCACCTTGGGGTAAGGGAAAATTCCTTAAACACACACAGAAACACAAAGTAGATGAAAATATTCATAATTCAACTATATTAAAGTTAAGACATCTTTTCATTGGGAAAGTAAACAAGCAAACCATAATTGGGAGAAGATAGTTTAAACACTGACGAAGGATTAGTATCCAGAATATATAAAGAATGCCCATAAGTCAATAGTAAAAGGTAAACAACCCAATAGAAAAATGGGCTAAAGGTATAAATAAGCATTTTACTGCAAAGGAAATACAAATAGACCATAAACATGTGAAAAGATACTCAACTTTATTTGCACTTTATATCATCTTAACCGTTTTTAAGTGTACAGTTCAGTAGTGGTAACTACATTCACATTGTCCTATCACCATTTATTAAAACTCCTTCTTTTCAGATGAGAGTTGCAGTGCCACTTCAAGCTTCCCTATATTCATGAGTCTATTTCTGGACTGTATTTCATTCCATTGATTGATTTAGATATTCCCCCTCCAATACATCTTAACACATCCTCTAGGACTATCATAGTACAACTTGGTAATAAGTTTTAAAATCGGGTAGGGCAAATCTCACACCTAATTCTTCCTTGCTTTTTTTTGAGATTTGGTCTCCCATATAAATTTTGGAATGTGTCCCGAGTTTAAATCCCATTGGGAATTTGATGAGACTTGCATTGAATTTATAGATCAATTTGGGAAGAATTGCTATGTTCAGGTTATCGAGTCCTCCCATCCTTGGACGTAGCATATCTCTCTGTTTATTTAGGTCTTATTTAATGAATTTCAATAAAATTTTGTTGTTTCCTTCATATAGGTCTTGCACATTCTAGTTTTATTGCAATCATAAGTGGGTTTTTTTTTAAGTATGGCTTATCAAACTACTGTAAAAAGACATTTTTGAAGCACTTGTTGACTTTTTTTTTAAACATTTTATTTATTTGACAGTGAGAGAGAGAGAACACAAGCAGGGGGAGTCGGAGAGGGAGAAGCAGGCTTCCCAAGGAGCAGGGAGCTGGATGTGGGGCTTGATCCCAGGACCCTGGGATCATGACCTGAGCTGAAGGCAGACGCTTAACGACTGAGCCACCCAGGCGCCCTGCACTTGTAGACATTTTAAATGGACTGGATATTAGATGATATTAAGGTATTGATGTTAATTTGGTTAGGTTAATACGTTCAAATGGTATTCATTATGGTAAAAAAAACAAGATCTTTGATTATTAGAAACTTATACCTAAATATTTACTAGTAAAGTGACATGATACTTTGTTTAAAAGTTAATAAAAATCATTTTACATAGTTTATTTTATAAATAAGGGAAGAGATAAAAGAAGAATGGCAACATTGTGACAATTGTTGAAGCTGGGTAATGGTTACAGGGAGTTCATTATACTATTCTCCTTATTTTTGTGTATGTTTGAAATTGTCCATAATAGACTTTAAAATATATTTTCTACTTATTTTTTGTTAAGGTATAGAAATGTATATACCAGTTCTGTGGTATTTTATTATGGCAGCCCTAACAAACTAATACACTTCATATAAGTGGAATAATACAGTATTTGTCCTTTTTGCAACCAGCTTATTTCACTTAGCATATTGTCCTCAAGCTTCATCCATATCATACCATATAACAGGAATTCCTTCCTTTTTTAAAAGTGGAAAAATATTCTTTTTTTTAAGATTTTATTTATTTGAGAGAGAGAGCTCAAGCACAAGCTGGGGGGGGAGGGGCAGAGGGAGAGAGAGAAGCAGGCTCCCTGCTCCTCAGGGAGCCTGACTCCTGACTTGGGGCTAGATTGAAGGACTCCAAGACCCCAGGATCATGATCTAAGCCGAAGGCAGAAACTTAACCAACTGAACCACCCAGGCGCCCCTAAAAGTGAAATAATACTCTATTGTATATGTATACCACATTTTGTTTATCCATTCATCTGCTTGTGGACATTTGAGTAGTTTCTGGCTGTTGTGAATAATGCTGCTATGAACACAGCTGTGCAAATATCTCTTAGAGATCTTGCTTTCAGTTCTTCTGTATATATGCAAGAGGGATTACTGGATCATATGCTAGTCTGATTTTAAATTTCTTGAGGAAATGCCATAATGTTTTCCATGGTAGTCACACCATTTTATAGTCCCACCAAAAGTGTGCAAGAATTCCAGAATTTCTCCACATCCTCACCAGCACTTATATTTTCTGTTCTTTTGACAGTAGTCATCCTAATGGATGTGCAGTAGTATCACATTGTGGTTTTGATTTGCATTTTCCTAATGATCATTCGGTATGTATAAAAATGCAGACTAAGACCTTTTTGAAATACCATTTACATCCACTATATTTATTGGAAAAATCAATCTGACAATACCAAGAATTGACAAGGACAGAGATTTAAAAAAAATACACACTGCTGGTGGGCATGTACATCATTAACAATCTCTTCAAAAAACAATTTGGCATTACCTTGTTAAGTGAACATTCATTTTCCCTCAGCAATTCTATTCCTAGGTAGTCCATTCCTGTGGTGCTTTTCAAACCCTGAGTCAACACTCATTTGTGAGTTCTGTAATCCATTTACTGAGAATCACAAATAGCATTTTTTAAGCACTGGGGATGTGAATATTTAATTATTTCATTAAACTTTTGTTCTATATATGTGAGTGTGTTTACTGGTTGAAGACACCAATTGCATTTCTGTCTCAAATAAATAAAATCTTTATAAAAAAAATAAAATGATCATAATAACAAAACTTGGAAGCAAACCAAGTGGCCAGTAAAATTGTAAATTTGTGGTGTATTCATACAAAGCAATGAAAATGAATTCATGAGACTTACAAACATCTCCTTAAATGAAAAAAGACCACAAAGACTGACATTTTTATAAAGCTCCAAAACAAGTAAAACTGAACAATATGTTATTGAGGGATACACACATGGGAAAAGATTAATAAGGGCAAATTAGTATACACAGAATAATAAAACTAGGAACATATTTGGCAAGTGGATGAAATGGGAAAGAAAAGCATAGATGCAATAGTATTGATGCTGTAGTTCCTACATGTATTCATGGATATTCATTTTATTAATATGCAATATAAATTACTAAATATATTATGATGTATATATAGTTATATAATTTATATATGTATAAAAATGTTCCTTCCTAAAAGTGTACATCCTCTATCTTCTTGCACAGTAGTGAGTCAACATTCCCAAACAGAAACTGAATTTCCTGAAAAACAGGTTAAGAAGTTAAAGACAACAAGGGGAAAAATGCTTGTCAGCATGCCAAAGGTCAACATGTATCATTTCATGTAAGCGTACCTTACTTTCAAGCAGTTTCCTGAGGCCAGGGCATGGAGTAGGGAATGGTAACAGCTAGATCACTACCTTAAGCGTGACAGTTAACTGTGCTTTCCTTCCTTTGATTGTATATATATATATATATACAGCAAATCATCAAACTTTGTCAGTGATGCGTATACCCAGTGTATCCACACCCCAACCAAGTCAGTACAATGATGATATCCTTATGGGCACATTAGTAACTTCTGAGCTAACAACTTGGGAAGAGTAATTAATCAGAGCCATCCCTCTCAATTATTAATTTAGAATTGGAACAAACTTTCATCGCTTTCCTAATTTTTAAATGAACTTGAGGCAGCTCATCCAAACGTCCCATTAAGTGGAAAGAAATTCATTTGTTTTCGAGATGTGACTCACAAGAAACAACAGAATAGCAGTTGCATGGGGAAGGGAAGAGACAGTAAAGAAAACGGAAAAGAAATCCCTCAGGAGAAAGGGATTGTGAAAGCTGAAAAATGGAAAACTTCCACACTAAGAATTCCAAAATAATATGCAAAATTGGCGGGGGGGGGGGGAACTTTCAAGGGCTCTTTTCAGTGTAATAACAATAAGGAAATTCAGCTCAGGAAATCCATGCCTTAAGAAAAGACAACTAAAACCATTCGACTTCAGCAAAACCCACTGCAAAGATGGCGGTGGGACGAAGCCCCTCTCCTCCCGCGGCCAAAGGTTCTAGCCTCGCATTTCCCACAAGCCCCTCCGCAAGGCCCCCGCTTGCCGAAACCTGCCGGGCCGGTCTCCCCCCACTGCGCACGCGCCGCACCACGTCACGTGCCCTCCCAGGGCTCAGCGGAGCTGGCAGGAGGGGCCTTGCCAGCTTCCGCCGCCGCGTCGCTTCGGGGCTCGAACGGCGGGTTCGCGCTGCCTCCGCCGCGCAGGGGTAGCCCGGGGTCGCGGGGCCGAGCGAGGGGCGCGCGGCGGCGCGGCCATGGGACTGCGCAG